AGATAACAATGAATAATACAACATAACACTTAGTCGTTTTTCGCGGGGTTGATATTTACTGTTACGATTGACTTAACCCTAATTTTAGCAATAACTAACAGTCTATTTGTAATAACTAAACAAGCTCAGTTTATTTTTTCGCTAATTTATATATTTTTCTTCTTTTTTTTTTTTAAGGGGTGTCAGCACACATTCTGTTATAATCAAGTGTTCTAGGATCTTCTAATATTAATAACTATAATAATAATTTTATTCATCAAGTTATTAATAAAATTATAAAACCTGAATTATATATGATTTGCTCGCTAAAACCAATGGCTGTAGTGCGAGTTGAAGTGAAAATGTATAACTACTACTCGTACGCCGTATAGCTCACATATGTATTGTAGGCTGCTCACTCGGGTCGGCATAATATTATTTTTCGTCGACTATCTCGCGGAAATCACTTCGTAGTTAGTCGCTCGTGATTGCCTGCAAACTTGTTCGGCCGTTATCGCGGTATTGCTGCGGCTAATCCACCCAACATATAAGTCTAAAGCAAATGAAAAATGTATAGGTATGTTTATATATTACGTTGTTCTTTCCCCCATTTCTGAACACTGCGCATAAAGTATACGTCGCGTGGTAATTCATTTCGTGACAGTTTAAACGCAAAAAAGCTGGTGGTTTTTTTCTATGTCGTTTCGTTACGTGCTACGTATAGCATAATTGTTAATTATTTTTATCCGGCCGTGAGTAATAAACACACTGTGTAGGGTGTCGTATTCAATTTTTGCAGCTGTATATATATTATATGGATTTTGTTTAACCCACTCACGCGTGCGTCAAGTATAAATGCACGTAGTAGTAAAAACTAAAACAAACATTTATCGGTCTGTGCCATATAATAGTGTTGGGTAAGTGTTATTTATTTAAAAAATTCAGTCATTCTTTGAAACTACATCGAAATTCACTCACCAAGATTTGCCCGGTAAGAGCAGACTTCAGATTTCGTGCCTTCAGAGGGTTACTGAATTTATTAATCGTTTTTATATATTTTCTGTACTATTATATTTTAATCTAAAGTTTTCATTTTGGGTGGAGCTAACATGTTTAATTTTTTTTTGTTCAATTCCATACCCATTTCTTTTAGTAGTAAGAATCCCCCAAAACTTACTCGTACTATTAACTCCAAGAAATGGGAAATTTTATCCTTTGGTACGGTGATATATGTAATTTTTCGAAATTCTTAAAATGTTTAAAAACATTGCAAAGAAAACTATCGAAATATTATTTTTAGGCTTTCCCTTGAGGTATAAAAGTTTAACTCGCATTCTTTTCTTAAATAAAATAAATCGATTTCTTATAATCATTTGGATCTGTAAACCTGATAAACCTCGATTTATTGCAGTTACAAAATATTTATATTTCATATAAAATTACTGTTTTTGTGCTGTTTTTTTTTTTTTTTTATACTTTCTTGTAGACATTCAACTATACCTACCTAGTATGGCGCTTAACTATAAAATAACTACAGAACATTCGACAAACTGCGATTGCGTTTATGTATGTTATATTAGAACATTTCGAATGATGGTTGTAAACATTTAATCGAAACATGTGCTGCTCTTTATCCTTAGTTCCTTAGCGCTTCGACTCTAAACTTTTACGTGTACTGATTTTAATTTAAGTAGTCCTATTTTACTTCCTGCAGCCGACAACGAACACTTTAATGCATTTATATCGTTCATGCTGAAAATTAATACATGATACTTGTTATTAAAATGTGTATTAAGCTATACATATATTAATATCCAATTAATTTAACCATAACTTTGATGATGTACTCGCCGCTCAACATAATTCACTCAAGTTATGCGAACCACTCCTTATTTTACAGTATACATATACAGTTATTGATGTCAATATATTTTTTTTAATTACAAATTAAGTAGTTATAGATATTAATTATGTTTTTGTAATTGATATAAGCTACAGTATTACCTATATTAATATATATAATGTGAAATATTGAATTTTCTTTATAAATCTGATAGATGTCAAACAAAGGTATATAAAATTTTTTTTTGATTTTTACATTTTATATATTTCATATAAGTAACTTAAATTTCTAAATGACCTTTAAAAAAACATTGCTTCCACAGCGAGTTACACTCTTAAAGAGTTAAACAATAATAATTATTTTTCCGGGCAACGCCAGATAATTCAGCTAATACTTTATAAAACAATTTTCATTAGTGTGAATATTTTGTAAGAACATTTTAGGCGTTTAGATGATTTAATTATAATCATATTAAAATATTCAAAAATTGATTTTATATTGTGTGATACATCATATTTTTAACTATTCACATTTTATAAAAAATAAAAAAAATATCGACGCTCCATATTTAATGTAGTTGTACAAACTAAGAGTTTTAAATAATATATCTGAAACTAAAATCATTTTTTCCTTTTGACTTCTCCCCTTCTACGATTTGGTGATTTATTATTTACTAATAATCAACAAAATCTAAAAATGTAGGAACTTCTCGGTAACAACACTTATTTGATAAAGTTCCATTTCTTTAGGAAAAGTATAAAATATTAAGTTTCTTAAAATCGTGGTTCAAACCAAGAAAATCGATAATATTAGAAAAATTAATAAACTATGTAGCTATGAAAGCACAATATGGTTTATCAACCTAATATACATATATGTTTGTTTGTATTAATTAAGTATCTCTTTCTCTTTATTTAATCTTATCAAGTGTGTTCAATTATCAATACATATACGTATATCAATCTGCAACAGGAGGATTTGCGGAAAGATTTTTTTTCCAGGCTTATTTTGTTATCATTTTTTTTTTATTGCTTACAGGCTATCAATAATAATTTAAAATACGCGAGCTTAACACATCCATGAAATACCTAAAAACCTAAACCTAAATACCTAAACCTTAATTATCCATTCTTCGTAGTTTCTAACGAGCCTTTAACGAAATCCCTCTGATAAAAGAGTAGTTCTTTAACTTTAATTTATTATCAGTTATCAAAAAGGATATGCGGGCACATGTTTCAAATAGTCTTCCATTCTGGCAGTTACCACTTTAAGTCGACTATTGTTTTAGTCTTTATACACATGAAATGAATATAGATGACTCGAAATCAATCTCACTTTATAAGCTGATTTTCGTCCATTTGTCTTTAGAGAATTAATTTAAAGTTGCAATTTTTTTCTGTATTTTGTATTATTTAACAGTAAGGATAAAGACATCATAATATAATCAGTAGTAGGTACCTAATGATAGTGATTTTTCATTCCTTATTCAATTACAAAATAACAGATACTTGTGTTATTATATTATTATTACTATGATTATTATTATTATTGTTGTTGAATTTCTTACAATTTACTAAACGTTCGCGTTTCAGGAAAAAGAAATGTATCGAAATCAAAATGTATAAATATTATAGTTTGATAGTTATATTTATTAATGTTGATACTATTGCTCATTATTGTTTTATAACAATAGTATATGTTTATTTGTATTTACTGATAAAATTCCTTGGACTTCTAAACAGTAATATAATTTATTAAATATTTTAGTGTTGTGCAATATTGCAATAATATATTACAATGTTTAGCTCGTCGATGCATTATAGTAAGGAATTTTCACCGTATAAATATTTTGAATATTGAATGCGTATAACATATGTGCTGTAGTCCACTTTAAAGCATGGTGAAAAATATAAATTTGAATAAATAGTCGTTTGAATTTATTGTACAGTTTTTGTTTTTACTTCAATCGTTATGTACGTATGTATATATATATATATATATGTATGTACCTTTATATTGATGCTAAAAAAAATATTTCTTTGAAATTATAAGAATTGTTACATCATTACCTTGTTAAAATTCCTAATCCTATTATTTATGATCTGTTCCAATGTACGTGCCGAATTTATAAAGTCTCGATTAAATGACTTGTAAAATTAACAAGATTATGCGTTTCACGTGTATTCGGCGAAATAATAATTTCTATGCTTGTACTCTATACATGTAGGTACTTATATTTTGGCATTTGTATTCAATTCCTTATCCGTATCAAGATTGGATCTTTAACATAAGTGTATGCAGCGCGTCATTATTTTAAATTAAATATGTTTATAACGACGTTCACATCTTGGACAAAAAAATATTATATTCGAAATTAGAACGAGATGATCGCGTGTGAAATAACTGTGAAATAAGTGAACTTGGTATTAATTTAAATAAATCTATCAAGATGAGAATATGAGAATTATGAGATCAGATGAGAAATATTAATTCCAAAAATGTTGTCGATTATTTTGCTTACCTATAAAAATTTCAAGAGTTGCGCAATGTACATCTACAACCTGTCTCGTGTTTTTAATTTCCTTCTAACTTCCATCTTGTGTTTTCCTGTTTAATTACCTGTTAGACTTTTCCGTTTCATATTCAGCTGATAGACAAATTTTCTTTTAAATGATTTTTTATGGAATTAATTTATTATTTAAGTAGTTAATCTTACTGCAGCTATCTACTAGTCTGTTTAACATAAAGTTATTTTGTATAATCATTCTGCTTACTGTATATAAATTATGATCAAGACATATCAAAAATTTCAATTTTATCTTGCCCGTTTACTGTCGCCTATAAATATATTATGTAATATTCGCGTTAGAAATAATAATGCATCGTTGTGCGTAGAATGATTTGTTCAATATATATTTCAATGTGGAAAGTATATAATGTCTGAGTTGGTATAGTTTGAAAGAACTGTATCACAATGAATAATGAAAAAAAAAATAATAATAATCTCCTTTATGTATTGTCCGAAAATGAAAAAAAGGATATTTAATTTACTATAAAACGATTTCCCTTCGTCAAGTAGTAGTAAAGCATCTATATAATATAGTACTGATCGTGCATGAAATAATACCATGTTGAATTTTCTATGCGGTTTTTAATTTCTTTTATTACGTGTTTATAGGTTGGCAAAGCTTGAAGAAACTCTCAAGGACGAAAGTCTTTCGGAACAACAAAAACAAGAAAAACGCCAACAACATGCACAAAAAGAATCTGAATTTCTCAGGCTTAAAAGATCAAGACTTGGTGTAGAGGACTTCGAACCGCTAAAAGTTATCGGTCGTGGTGCTTTTGGAGAGGTATTTCTAATTATTCATTTATTGCTTTTGATTTTTTTTGGAAGTTGAAAAATTAACAAAATTATATTAGTACATCTGTTAAGGTGATCATTAGGGCTCGGAAGTTAATGATCTTAAAAACAAAAAAATAATTACCTAAACAATTTTGCAAACATAACATAAACATGACAGACAATTTCCTACAAAAATGACATAAAAATTTACAAATATTTGTTTTAAATGAATAAAAATACATTCTTTTAAATATTTTACTCTATTATACTATAATATTCTATATAAATTTATCAAAACTTTCAAATTACTCAAAACATGATATAAAAATGACAACTAATGTCCTTAAATATGAAATTCAAAAATCAAAATCATTGCATTGTACAATTAGAGCGTCTTTGATGTTATCAAAAGCAAATGAATAACGATAATCTGTGTATAAATATTTATACTTGGAAAAACTTCTTTCCACGTCTACTGAAGTGATTTGGAAACTCAGACGAGCACTAACCAACTAATTTTCACCATTTCGAAAATATTACGAAAAAATAATAAAATTTAGATTTAATAGGTATTATTTACTATAACACGACAATGACGCAATGACTCTAATTGGCGAGATAAAATCGGACAAGTTTTAAGTTATCGGCATAATAATCGACAAGAAACGATAAGAAGTGAAATAGAGTGAAATCAGTAAAAACGACTAAAAATGTCAAAAAATGACATGAAAGTAATAAACACAATGCAAAAAAAAATTAGTTATGATATATTATCAGATTCACATGCTAATGAAACACATTTGTGGCCAGGAAAGTATTGTCCAAAAAGTTCCAAAAAAAAAAAAAAAAAATGCAAAATGTATCAACTTCCGAGCCCTAATGATCATTATATTGTTTTCGATTTTTAGGACTCTTAGTTTCTTTTAATTTTAACCTAAATCTACATGATTACTAAGTTAATTTTTTATTTAAAGACTTTACCATTTTTCATAATCTTCTTTTACTTTTTACATTTTATTTAATATAGTTTCCCTAGTTTTACAGTTTATTTATTTTGTATAATTATTTATTACTATATGTTATATGAATTACATTATCTATTATTAATAATAATTTATAATAATTCAACTGCTTTTTTAATATTATTTGTTTTAAATATGATATAAATTTAATCCGGTTTTTACTCAATTTTTTTTTTTTTTAACCGTTGATTATTCGTTTTATTATAAATGTGTATTTGAGATTAATCCACAATACCGTTTTAAAAGTAAATTAAAATTATATTGGTAGTAACGTCTGCATTTGTATATAATTCACATTAACTAAACTATTCATTGTGTGTTTTGAGCGTAGTAAGGAATGCATTGATTTTATCGTAGTATTTTTATTTGCTACGTTAACACTGGTAAAACTTTGCATCGAACGTTTTATATAATAATATATCATTCGATTGTAAATTGAACTTGATTGTTCTAGTTAAAGAAAAATATTAAATTTAAGCTCAGCAAATATAAGATTATTTCGATAAAATATATTATTTTGTGTTTTACGGTTTATTTGGAGCTGTAAACGGTTAATGATACTTATTTATCCAATATTTTTATTTTTTATTCAATAAGAATTAAAATTCCTATTATATTATTTTATATATATGATAATGTCAACATTTAGAATTTGGGTTGCTTGTAAAAATTGGGTTTTAAAACTTTAAATACAAGTTCGTAAATTAATTGAATTATGTGATATATCTTTGATAAACAAGATTATTTTTACTTATAAAAACTTATTATAAATAAAATTATTTCTAGTGGCTAAGTATTTTTTTTTCAGAATAAAAACGAATTATGTTATTTATTTAGAGCCACAAAATAAAATATTATACGCATACCTAATCCTCTTTTTACTATTTGTTTAAATTCAAAGTTATAGAATACACTAGTAGTCAAAACATGGGAAAAAAATTGTTGTTTTCTATTATGTGATAAACTGAGGCCAGTTGTTGTAAAATAAATTTGCCAATTGGTAACAAAGATTTTTGACACGATGTATTTTATATTATCTTGTGCAAAAACACAATGGTTAATGTTTACTCTTTATCTTATTTGTTATGAAAAATTCAAACAAATACGAATAATGATGTATAGAAATTTGTAAATGTATATTTTGTTCGTACATAACATGTCATAGTATGTGAAGTTTACTATTTAAACTCAGTATCTATCTGAAGTCATTCAAATCTGTACCTATATGAATATTATACTGCCTATCTTATATTTTATATTTTATATTGCAAGATATGTCTGTTACGAATTTGCCTTGTAGATAGAATTTATGTTATACTTTCAATACGCCAGAGTAAAGATTGATGAAACCAACAAAGTGGAAATTTATATTTGAATCTTAGCGACTTAATATTTATATATGGTATATTTAAAATTAAACCATGTGGAAAAACAGTTCTTAACATATATTAGAATTTAGTACCAAATGATTGGAAATATCAGAAACGTTTTATTACTTATAGCTATATGTAATTTACCGCTACACGTTTAAACTTTTGAGATTAATAACACATACAAGTTTTTGTTTTTTTTTATCACTGAACATAAAATGTAAAATAACTGCTCATATTTTATGTAATTGTAATTTATTTTATTTTTTTATTAAATCGATGTTCAAACGCTGTTTTATTTTTAATACTGTTCGGATTTACGAAATTAAATTATAACTGTCTTCAAATTCTAGGTGAGACTCGTTCAAAAGAAAGATACCGGTCATATATACGCGATGAAAATCCTACGCAAAGCCGACATGCTCGAAAAAGAACAAGTAGCGCATGTTCGTGCAGAAAGAGATGTTCTTGTCGAAGCTGATCATCAGTGGGTCGTTAAAATGTACTATAGTTTTCAGGTAACTTTTCCATGTTTGCGAATGAATAATTAATTAACCCTCGCGTCTCATCACTTTGACGTACAACGATGGTTGTATGGTAAAAGTAATAAAATATACATAGGGGAAAGATATCCTTATTTAAAAAAGACTAGGAAAAGAAAACTCAAACCCCCTTAACTTTTTCCAGGATCCAATAAACCTTTACCTCATAATGGAGTTCCTGCCCGGCGGTGATATGATGACGCTGCTTATGAAAAAAGACACTTTAAGCGAGGAATGCACCCAGTTTTACATAGCTGAAACAGCTTTGGCCATCGATTCTATTCATAAACTCGGATTTATACACAGGTTTGATATATTATGGATTATATATCAATATAAAAAAGAACGTGAAATTATTTTATTTTTTTATTTTGGCTTTTTTTTTTTTTTTTAGGGACATAAAACCCGACAATCTACTACTAGACGCCAGAGGCCACATAAAACTGTCAGATTTCGGACTATGTACCGGTCTGAAGAAGTCGCACCGAACGGATTTTTATAGGGACCTGAGTCAAGCTAAACCGTCGGATTTCAGTGAGTGTAAATTGTCGAAAAGTCCACTTCATGTCAAACTTACATTTAGGTTTTTTCTGTTCATCAGCATCGAGTCCGATGGACAGCAAAAGGCGAGCGGAGAGTTGGAAAAGAAATCGCCGTGCGCTAGCCTATAGCACCGTCGGAACGCCTGACTATATCGCGCCCGAAGTATTTCTTCAGACTGGTTACGGTGCGGCTTGCGATTGGTGGAGTGTTGGTGTCATCATGTATGAAATGCTAATAGGTAAGAAATAATAGTATCTATATATTCTTTGACCTAATCGTTATTATATACTCTGTATTTTTATTTATTGATTGCTATCCATTCAGTAACGATTTTCATGGCTTATGATTTTCTGTCTATAGCCTGCATTCTCTATGTTCATTTCCTTATTTTTAACACAATTTTATTTTGTGTCTTAATAAAATAATGATGTTCGTAAATTTTTATTTATCCAATTAGTTTTAAATATTTAAGCATTCTATTATTTCGTTAGGTTTAATTGATATTATTAAAATAATAGTTAATTACTAACATTCGACACATCAGTTAAGAATATCAACAGAAAAATGTTATTTCTTCGCACCAGCTTCCGATACAGTGTAGTATTGAATTCGTTGTTTTATAGTACAGTTATCTATTTTACTTAGTATGTTATATGTTTTATAATTATCTCTGATATTTTCTAGAAAATATTTGATTAAGATATTTAGATAAATATTTGCATTTTTTATTTAGAATAGGATAAATCATTACCTCTGATAAGTTGCTTATTCATTCTAGGTTAGGTATAACATATATTGGCAATATATATTTCCTTGTTTTTAACAACTTATTATTTTTTTTCTCAGCAGTTATTAATTTGAATCAATTGACGTTATAAAATAATATGTAATTTACGAACGTTGAAACCCATCCTAAAATAGCCACGTAGACGGCACATAGTATAATCTCTAATAATCACGGTGGTCATTTGTAGGTTACCCACCGTTCTGCAGCGAAAACCCGCAGGAAACCTACAGGAAAGTGATGAACTGGCGGGAGACATTGAGCTTCCCCGCTGAAGTGCCCATTAGCGAAGAGGCGCGCGACGCGATAACCAGATTTTGTTGCGAATCGGACCGGAGATTAGGGTCCAGTGGTCGTGGCATCGATGAGCTGCGGTCAACAATAGCGTTCTTCCGCGGTGTCGACTGGGAGCACATTAGGGAAAGACCAGCCGCCATACCCGTGCAGGTCAAGTCCATCGACGACACGTCTAATTTCGACGACTTCCCGGACGTCAAACTCGAAATACGTGAGTAAACATTCGATTTCGTGTACGACATGTGCACGAGCCGCGTATCGCGTGTTTTATGCACTCTGGTACAGTTGTGCTGGTCATTGTAGTATACTAACGTTGATGCTCTTTGGATTGCTTTTAGCGTCGGCTCCGGTAACGCACGACGGCGAAGTGATCTACAAAGACTGGGTGTTCATCAACTATACGTTCAAACGCTTCGAGGGACTCACTCAACGGGGCATAGCTACCAAAAAGTGATTGGACAACGTGTTAACAATAGTGCAATGTGATATTTTATCTAACCTCCTATTTACGCTTTTCTCCTTCCTCACCAATCACCTCCCCCCCTCGTCACCGTACCCGGTTCCCTCACCCCTAAACCTAATTACCACTTGTTGGCATGCTGTTTATGATCTCAAAAAGAAAAGTTTATTCTTTTCAGCGTTTACAACCAACCGAAGATTCCAAAGAGCAAGTGTTTTTAAACGCAATAAAATAATACCTTCTAAACCCAATGCAATCGAGTATACTGTCGACCGAGGCAGTGGGTAACTATTACCGTATAATATACTATCACCGTCAAACTTACCAAACGCAGTTGAATAATAATACAACTATATAAAGTGTCGAATCTTAACGTTATTTCTACATTAATTTTGCACGCACACACACACATACATATACACACTAAAATTATGTCTTAAGCTTCATCTAGTCATTTCCTTCGTTTTTCTCTCAAACAATATATATTCGAATTTAAAATATAATTATTAACACGTTCGAAACCACTCTACGAAAAAAAAAAAAAATAAATTATTTTAATAATATTTTAGTAATTAATACACTAAATGTGTACATATACCATTTATATTTTAAGTGACATTTATTTGTTGAAGCACCGTAGGTAATTTAATGTAGCGTTAAACTTTGTACATAGAATCGTTTCAGATGCATTGTGACCGCTGGTGCTCAGGCGCGGTCATCTTCGGAACTCTAGTGGATGTGAACGTGTTAACTTACAAATGTTATTTTCGCGTGTAGGGTTTAAATATTAAAATATATATGTTATATAGAAACATTGAATGTTCAAAACATTTATTTTTAGTGAAAGCATTCAAATCTTGCCCTTTGACGAGTGTGAAAAAAAAAGTAAATAATTAAGATTCTAACGCACTTTAGCATGTTCCTATAACTACAAGTAGTGGTATCCAATGAATGAATTTGTCATCGGACAATAAGGCCGAAAGTGATTGACCCAAGGACAGGTTAGACTTAAAATTTGTTTTAAATATTTTCATGATCTGAATTTTGTTTGTTTACTCATAAACGTTAGTTTTAACAGTTGTGATATTCGCAAAGTTAATTATTGTTTGTTTGTAATTTTTTTATTATTAATATTAATAATTATTATTATTAATATTATTATTATTTTTATTTCTATTTTTATTTCTATTGTATAATTATGATCATGACGCTGTTAATCGTTCACATTTTGGTGGTTTTATAATAATAAAACTGTCGAATTCTCAGTACTCCACATTAGGTCATTATCTAATAAGAGTCGAGCGCTATCGTATAATATACTTCATATACAAATATGTGTATAATAATATTGTACTGTAATTTTACATATATATTTATGTATTTTTTTCGGTATATAAATTACAATTTTGAAGCGTGTACATTTTTTTCATTGATTATTTTTATTTTGTTTTCTCTGTTTTTAAACCATTGTTGAACCATTTTTTTGTTTTTTTTTTTTTTGCGTGTGTAAATACAAGTATGGAGTGCTGCGAATTGCCGTGAATGTTCTGATCATCACCATCGTCTGTGTCGTGTTTTATTATTCGCGTGATTAAAATGTATTATTATGATTATTATTTTATTATTTGAACGGCATGGGTGTTAATTGATGAATTTCGACGTAATTTAGTTGAATTATTATTAAATAATAATGATGAAAAAAAAAATGTATTTGTGTATAATGTAAACAATAATGTATTCGAATAGTACAAACAATTATTAGATGTACTGTCGCCATCCCCTCCACTGATTGAACAGCGACGTTCGAATGACCCAATAAATATATGTCTATTTTTACTTATCATTTGTATTGGCCTAACGTTGTTATGTGATTCTGTCGACTTTATAATATATATTATCAACGCTGTTGATGTGTTGGCTACCAAGTGCTTGTATACAAAACAAAAATAAATCCGAAAAAAAAATAAAAAAATTAAAAAATATAAATATATATATACATATGTCGTTACTATTATAATATTTTTGTATTTTTTTTAATTACCATTTTTAGTTTTCCTCGTCTCCTTTGCTGAACATAATAAAAAACATTGGCTCGCGGATAGAATATATAAGATTGACATAACTACTGTGTTTGAAGTGCTACATATTATTTGTAAATATTAAGCTTCGACATATAACAAATTTGCTAATTTTGTAATCAGAAAAAAAACATTTTATACAAATTTTTGATAAACAAAAATATACTGTACCCGATTACGTATAAAAAAAAATGTTGGATTGCGTTTGCGCGTACCGCCCGAGCCAAACCATTGAAATTTTCTAGTTTTGTGTATTTTAGTACTACCTTTCATTTCCCAAAAAACCCCATTTCAGTACAAGATTATACAACTGAAACATTTAGTGATACAGTTTATCGCGAACCCTTATTATAGTGATATATTTGTACTAATATAAAATAATACCTGTGTACAATTACATATGTACTCAGAGGGAGTTTTTGTTCCTAACACTTGATATAACGGTTAAACTAATGTTTATGGTTGATACTATTTTAAAAAAGAAACTAAGATGTGTATGCATTTGGTTAAAGCCTCTACCGATATGTAAGCCAAAGGAATCGTTTTATATTTCTCCGAATCGAAAATGGCCAGCACACGTCTGCCATACAATATAGCGATGTCAGTCGGGCCATTATATTTTCTTGAACACTGTTCGAAACCCGTGGGTTCGGTTGCTATATCGAATTGTCAACGAAACCGATCATTATACAACTCTACCATTGATTTTAGAGTAAAATAAATACTACAATTACGTTTGAAAAGTCATCAGTAAATGGGTTGAGTATCGGGATTTACCGTTTTTATTCAAGTTTTTAATCGCTGACGGTTTATAAAATATCTGTAGAATTCGCAGTGTTGCGCTTATTGACGATTGTCCGGTTCAAATTTTTTTCTAAAGACTAAGAGTAGTCGTTGTTCCCAATGCGTGTACAGTGTTTAACGTTTCGCGTTCAACTATTCACCGTTAATGGCACCGAAAACGAACGATATGAAACGGGAAGAGATCCGACCTCATAGGCATAAGCTCGGGTGAAAGGATGCCCCCCTCAAATGTTATAAACAAGGCCCTACAGTTTAAGGTAAAGTGTAAGTGACTCGTATTTCAACTGATGTTTCTAAAATTAAATGCACGGAATTCATTATAATTAATTCGGTAAGAAATCAATGATGTTTCGTAATAGAAAAAATAAAACAAAATGTTCCGAATTTTCGTGCAAAAACTTAATACGCTCAGTGGTGTTCCCATAGGATATAATTTACTTACACGCGTACTTTTAACATTATCTTGAAAATATAGGCGTATACTACGTTTACTCTCAAGTCTCAAGCATTTTTATTTTGTCAGACGATTAGTATATTACTATTATATTACTATTATTATTACTATTACTATATTACTATTATCAAGTAATTATTGATGATGGGGTAGCGAACGATTGTAAACGTTTTACCTCTTTTTATAACACAATTGCGAACGAATATTGCTTGTCAAAGAATTTTTTTTAGCCGAAAAACGAACGATTGCGAACATTTTTTTAGACTACGTTGCCAAGTTTATATTTTTCTAAATATGTAAACATTCCTGAATTTTAATTTATCTGAGGATTTAATTAATTTTTTTTTTTTTATTTTTTTAGTAAAATCTATCGATATTTATAATATCGTTATATTAAAATTACGCTACAAACTAAAAAAAAATATTCAAAATATGTGTTTAATTAAAAAATATTTCTCGGTACAAATATTAATAAAATAACATAATAATGTATAATTTATAAAATACTGTATAGAACTGAAAAAAAAAATTAAAAGAATTACAAAATAATAATTTTGAATAACACTGCACATTTATACGAATTAAGCTGGTTTTTCATCGAATTAATATAAGTTTAGGAAAAATATTATAGTTCAATTTGTTAGTATTTATTACACATCATATATATCTTATCGCCCGGCATAATAGTTGAAAACCATTGTTGTTAATCTTATAAGATTTGATTATTTGAAAATAAAACAAGATTCTGACAAATAATATTCATTCATTAAATTTCGGTGCATGCGATAACGCAAAAAAAAGTGCGCCAAAGCGATCCAAAACGTTGTAGTGATGGTGCGGCGTGCACGTTCTAATTTTATTGTGGTATCACCGATGGCGTGGTGAACCTTTGCCTAATGCAATGGCTTAGCCCTAGAAACCTATCAAGTGGCTGGGTATCCATAGGTTCGTATACTTATGAACATATTTTATTTAAATAATTAATTTAATTCCCTAATTGCATGCACTGAAAAATAATTTAATATGCATAGTTAGTAGATAGGTTAGATATTTGAAAGGAATTAAGGAAAATCCTGTGGGTAGTACAATTGAGTAGGTAGTTATATACTTCTGTATTATTTAGTAAGGGGAGAGGGATGGAGATGTACGTGATGACTTCCCGCAGCAGAGGAACAAAATCGTTACGATTAATTTTATGTTATTATTGTGTATTTTCGTTTACCTCATTGTCGATGCCATTTTTTTTTTTTTAAAGTCTCGATGTAGAAATCAAGATAATAATTGTTGATAGTAGTATTCTCTTAAAACACGAACAATTTCGAATGATCTAAAATTCGTTTGGTTCACAATTAAAGTACAGATTATATGAATACAGATGGTGCACTTCGGCGATTTCTCAAAGAGTAAACAAATCGTGGACACTTATGGAGCGTGATCAATGTCACCACATTCAAGAAATATATGATTATACCAAACATTTTACCATAATAATGAGCCATATTATTTACTTAGAAAAATTACCTAGAATTATGGCTGGCATTTCGCGGAACCACAACAAAAGTCAGTTGTGCTCGTTCAGAAATAATAAATTATTATAAAGAAATTTATTTTTTTACTTGTGGACATGCTCCTTAAAAGTGTCTGTATTCATATAATCTGTGGTTAAAGTCAGTTTCTTTATCAATATTGTTAATGGCCAATGTGGTAAAAAAAAAAAACACATCTTGAAATTAAATTTATAAACTGAATAAAAACGAAAAAAATGTTACACTTTTGGACTGGCAGTATCCGAACGGCGGTATTTAGCTGTTCCTAAATATTTTTTATCTTCTTTAGATCAATAAGCGCCGCATTCATTTCAATTCATGTTACCATTTTTAGAAAACAATTAAGATCAAACGGAATAATTTATTACCATTCAGAAATGTATTTCATTAGAATATCGTATAACTAAAATATGTGGTCAAATGTCTGTTCTATTTGCAACATTGTTAGTATACAAATACGAGGTATCCTTTTACAAAATTTGTTTGTATTTTTTTTAAATAATCCAATAATTTATAGGAAAAAAGGCGATTTATTTAAAGGTTTTCGTTTACTATAACCAAGGACGTAATGGATGGACGTTATAGCTAAAGATATCAAAAATATAGAAGAAGAGTCATCTTCTGACGAATAGAGAGACGAGACGATAGAGAGAAATTGAGAGGTTTTGTGATGGCAGCGATGGCACTCAATAGGCCGATAAGCTGAGGAAGAAGAAAAAGGTTAAATAAGAATGATGATTATGCAGTTATTTGAGTTGGTTTTGGTAATATTATCTTTTGTAATTGAATGTTTTATTTAACCAAAATGTCTTGACTATTCAATAAAGGAATACTCGTAAACTGGAAAAAGTGTTCTACTCCGATTTAAGATTTTGTTGAACGTCGTGTATTCGTAATCGTTAGACAATATTAATCATGTACTCAGTTACCAGTGTTCCTTTAGTAGTCTAATCCAACGCACGTAACATCTTTAATATATGATATCCATAAATTGTATACATCAGTCAGTGTCTGTGTCCCGTTCGTTCCCTTTCATTTTCTCTTCTCTATATATCTTTCTCTCCCCTGAGATTCCATCGGAAAACAAGAAAATACGTCAAAACCAT